TACTTCTTAAAAAATCACTTTCACACCGACACCTACTTTTCAACAACAATTTTCAAACTTTTTTTTATCATTTATTTAAAATTTTTATTAAGAATTTTGTCAAACAATCCCTTGGCTCTCTCGTGATCTTCCAAACTATAATCAAGGTGACAAAACTAAATTGTACTTTTGTGCTCTTTTATCTCATGGAGTGGAGCTATCAGTTTATGACAGCTGGCCTTGTCATGTCGCTCCATCTCTTTTCCAATGACGGATGTTTGATAAGACTTTGTGTCGGCTCATTTTAATAACAATTTTGCTAGACGGACAGACATCCAAGGTGCCATCTATAGGTGGGGCGCTTGTCAGGCCTATTGGGGGGAGCTTTTTCCTTTTCATTAACAACTAATATTATTGATAATATTCCTAAAAAATTGCTTGTGGTTTGTTATTGATTTTTGTTTCTTTCACTTTCCAATCACATTCTTTACAAGAAATTGACACAAAGGATTTGTATGTAAATGTTAACAAGAAAGATTACCATTTAACTAGAATGAATGAGTTGACTCCAACATATCAATAAATTCGCCTTGTTTCAATATACTTGAAACTTGAAAGTCTATTTTTTCCCATACTTCATGTAGTCCACTAGTTTATAATTCTTGAATTATTAACTTCAACACCTCAAATATATGACCAATATTTCTCTTCTCGAACAAATTTGCAGATCGAAGAAATTGTCAACTTCGAATAAAAATTTACTCTGCATTAAACTATACAAACAACTTCCATAATCAGATCGCTATACTCACTAAACCACTTTATCTCTCTTTCAGTCAATATAGGTAGCCTTGAAAAGAGTGACATGTGAAGCCAAATTGAGAGAGAAAAAGATCATTTTGCATTCGTTTAGTGTTGTAGGTTTGTGCGTATTCTGCGGGGAGTCATGAAAATGTTGCGTCGTGAAAATTTATAGTGATATTTTCTGCAGTCTCACCAGGCTTGGGACCATTACAGCAGAAAGTCTGGATTTAGAAGCAAATTTTCTTAAAGTATATTCTTTTGGTAATGGATTCAATATGGGCTTAAAAGAAAAACCAAGAGGATAAAATTTGTATACTCAAAATTTGACGTTTAGAGTGAAAATACTGGGTGGACAAAATGAATATGATTAAAGAGGCATGCATCGAGAAATCTATGCTCACACGAATTACTTCTTCTGACTCATTTGGAGTCGTCATTGATATTTCATCTTAAACCTGAAGCAGAAATAAGCCCTTTTCATTCATCTTCTCCTAAAGCTTTTCTTTCCACTGGAAGATTCGAAAATTTACTCCACTTATATATGCTGTTAAGAATACCATTTTTCGCATACACAGAATCTATTACATCCCATTTTATACTTAGTCAAAGGTCAATATCAACTAGTCAAAGTCCAAGTCAAATAGGGACTTAAATTGTATAAATAATTTTATTGGGACTTAATTGAACAAATTATTTTATTGGGGTTTATTTATAAATTGTCAATACTTTAAGGTTTAAGATGGATAAAAAATATTTTTTGGAGATTTACTTATATATTATTGAAAGTAAAGTGGTTAGATTTTATATCCAATAGAAGTTAAGGATTTAATGTGATGTTATATGGAAGTGGAGGACTTAAATGCAAATGAGGGCATTAGTGGATTACAAGTGTAAAATGCTTAACTATTTTAGCCATTTTCAATTGATATATACCTACAAAAATCTGGAAACGGGGCAGAGAAAGAAAAGAGAAAGGAAAGAGAGAAAGAAGAAAAGAAAGAAAGAAAAAAGGAAAAGGAAAAAGAAAGGAAAAGAGGTAGGGTTGGCTATTTCAATTTCATCTTCAATTTGACAAATTTTTTGGTATGTTTTATGCTTAAATTTTTTAGGGTTGTGATTTGTTGGTTAAATTTTCAGATTGAAGGAAGGAATATGTTTGCAAGCCGATATTTTTGAATTGGGAGGCTACTTACATTAAGGTATGAAATACCAATTTTGGACAAAACCTAGAATTTTTATTTGGGTTTTTGAATGAGTATAGTTAACAGGAATAATTGCAGAGATGAAATACTCATTTGAAGGCATGAATTTATGGAGAAGATGGAGAATTAAATTGGTTAAATTATAATTATTAGTTATACTAGTTTGGAAGAAGGTATTATTTTTATGTTTGTAGTGAAGATTATTTTAATGAATTAGATTTTAATGAAAGGACTAGAAGGTCGAATTAGTTCCAATTGTGAAGGAAATTAAAGAATATATCCAAGTGTCGAGAAGTAGAGTATTTCGTAGTTAAAGAAGTTAAGGATACTTGGTAGAGTGGTTATTAAATTTGTTATCTTGTATCATATTTCTAGAGATGACGAGAAGATTGAAATCATTATTAGTCCATAACTTGGTGAGTGGATATAAAAACTTATTTTTCAGAGATTAGTATTTATTGTTATTTCATACAATTGATTTTCACAGCATGATTTTTAGAATAAAGTGGATTTATAATTAGATATTTTTAAAGTTAAATTCAATTCAATTAAATCATTTGATTAGCATGTTATTTAACTATAACTGTTTCAGTATAGTTAAAGTTATTTTTTAAACCACCAAAAAGTACCCAGGTGATTTTACCCCAGTCTGTGCTGGTGTGAATGTGTTTCCATAGTGTATGACTAGTTATGGTAATTTCACCCGCTCTGCACTATTTTGCATATGTTTTCATAATATATGACCAGATTATGAGATTATCAGAGGTCTTTGGGACCCACTCTCGTACACATATAGGCTTTGGGCCGTGTACTAGGGTGATTAGCCTTTGGGATAGCTTTGCGTACGTATGACCAAATTATCATATTTGAATGGCTATGCCTTGTACACCGAGATTACTCTGTACATGAGTAAGGCTATTCATTGGGTACTCTTTTTGGTGTGATTTTTCAGTATTTCTACAGCTTATCAGATTTCAGATTATAGAATTCAGTCTATTCAGTTCTGAGAATAAAGCTTCCAGCTTATAGTATTGAACATCATATTTCACAGTTTTTCATGGATGTCAGATTATTTATATTCGTTATATTTTATAGTTAATGAACTAGTATAAAGAATAAAGAATTTTAAGATCCAGTCATGTTTTAATTTTAAAAGTAATACTAGCTTTCAGAATTTTTCAAAGTTTTAATAGAGTAAGAATTTTCAAAAAATATGCATAAATGAGAAAAGTTTACTTATTTGTAAATTATCCACTCGCTGAGCTTTAAACTCACATATTTTTTTCACCTTTTTCTTTACCAGACAGATAGCAGTCGAATTGAGCAACTTTGCAGCCCGTCGAACCACCGAATTGAGCCACGCATCGTAGGTTGTATGACATCTTTTATCAGATTATACATTGTGTTCTTTTGGTATACACGAAGGTTAAATCAGAAAAGTTCATTATGGGCTCATTAGATATTTGGTATCTTTAGTGTATTTGAAGATTGTTGATTGGAAGGCAAGTAAATGTTGATTTGCCAGCATTTTATTTGAATAGTTTGTATTTTAAAGGACTGTCGTACCCTATTCATGTTGTAGGTATTGATTTGAGAAAAAATTGATTATTGTTGAGGTGGTTTAGTCCATATTTCAGGGAAAACTATGCCAAAATTTTGTTAAAAATATTTTTCAGTCAAGCAAGTCAAAGTTGCCTTGATGGTGGGTCCGACATTTAGCTGGTATCTACCATCGACGCACGACACGTGTCGAGTTTATTAAAGTGATTTGGGACGGGTTGTGTCAATTGGTATCAGAGTATGGTTCATTGGTTGTTAAGCTCGAGTAATTAATGAGTTTCTTTTTTGGAACAGTATGTCATTGAGATTATTAGCCGTGGCATGGTGGCAGAACTCACAGGCTCCAATGTGGTATTTGAAACTCATGTTGCCCTTGATAACGAAGGTATGGCAGCTAAGAAACTAGAAGGATCTTCATTGATTTGGGCATAATAAATATGAGGGTGTTATTGAGAATTATCCGTTGGTAATGAGAGTTGTTAGAGTTGTCATGTTGGCGTCATGCTATATTTTCTCTAATATATTAATAATTGTGCTATACTTCCAATAGGTAGTTAAGCGAAGAGTATAACTTTTCTTAGTAAGGAGATTGATTGGGTTATGAGTTTCTTGTGTAATTATTAGAGGGAATGTCCTTTAGATGCCTTGGATGATAAGTATTGTCTAATATTGATATATGTATAATTAGTGACATTAAAGGTGAAATCATGATTGCTTTGTAAATCTAAAAGTTTGTGGTATTATGTGAATTATTGTGGGAATTTGTAATCATATTTAGTATATGGAAGAAAATGCATGTATTAGAATATCAAGATGAGGAGATATAGTAAGATATCTTGTTCATGATAGAAATAATGAAACCATATGGAATGTCGATTCATGATGAAAATGGTGTTATTAAATATGTTTTACCTAATGATTTTGAGTAAATCAATGGGACTATGGTTCCTTCCTTGTTGATTCAAGAACGATTAAGTATCTAGGTCTGTACTTCAACTACTATAGAAGGAAATATTAAGGGTTTAATTACTCGGTTTGGGTGTATGAAAATAAGTTATGATGAATGAAAAAAAAAAGAAGAGAAAATGATTCTTACAATTCAGAAATGACTAGTATGTAAGTATATTAGATCTAGGGATTTAATGGTTGACAATGTTATAAGCTGTTGGGTTGGTACAGAGGTGTATGTGATCTAGTACTCAATAAGAGTGTAACAGCAAACATATATTAGTTTGGAATTAGAGTTTTAATAATTTTGTAGGTTATCTATCTATATGCATTCAAAGGAATGGAGTTGCCTAAATATTGAATTACATGCGAGATTATGTGATTTTTTTTTAATGTAGATATAGGAAAGTCTCAGTTATAATTTGCATGACAAATAAAATGGAATGATATTATATATAATTGATGACAATCATACGAGGAACCTTAATGATTTTGGGAAACTAAATGATCATTAGTATCATCGGAGATTGAGGTAATTTGTAGCCACTCATATTGGAGGATGATAGAAATTATGGTGGTGTGTATCTATATATATGATAAGAATCTCGTGGCGGATTAATGATGATATTATACTGAATATTGATCGGTTGAGAATAATGTGTTATTATGTATGTTATTCATTGAGGAAATTGACATTTATGTGACTCCGATCATTTTGGATAATTACGGGTTATTTGATTATAAGAGGTGAAACAGATATGGATAGATTTCACAAGGACTACATATTGTGGGGGTAAATTGTTGTTTAAGAAAGAAAATATTGAATCGGTATATCTATGTTAATTGTGTAAAAGGTATGAAAGGAAGGAGTTGAATAAATGCACATGGATCGTCATTCTTGAGTTATAGTAAAGTAATCATATATTGAGTAAAGAATGTCATAGTTGAAAATTATGGTGATTGAAAAATTTGATACGAAATCTAAATAGTGTATTATTGTGTGAAATGTTGCTTGATAGTTATAAAGAGCACTATTTTTGTGATCCTAAGGAAATAGGTGTAATCAAATGTTTGAAGTTATACAATGTGACCATAAATGACAAGGTTACATGATATGATAAATAGCAAGTGAAGAAATGTTATGGTCGTCCCATAGCCAAATAATGTGATGAGATATTTGAGTTATTAATTAACCTTGTCAAGGCCATTTGTGTATTATTATATTATATTACGTACAATCTAGAAGCTTCGAGCTAAATTTGGAAGTTAAGGTGAATTTAATGAAATTTTAGTAATGTAAAGTTTGGGAGACTTTCAATTGTATTTTTAGATCTCTCGAATAAAATATTCTATTCTTATCGAGATCTATAGGTTGTGGAACATATGGAGGATGTGTTGGATAGTTTAAAGTCTAAGATGATCATCAAATGAAAATTTTATTAAATTGTGGAATGGTATCTTTAAGTTATAATATTAATTGAAGGTCTTTGTGCAATATACAAGAAGGCTTATGCATTGGTAATAGGTCAATGGCCTCTTTATGGAATAAGAGAAAAGAATTATCATGGATTAAATGTTATTATTATATTTTCATAGAAAGAAAGAGCACAAAAATTGTGTGGGTTTAGAAATGTCAAAAGCTTTGCTATCTGATTACATTATGATGAAATATGTACTCTCGTATCTAAAGTTGATGAGAACCTGATTTATGATAATGAATTATATTAAGGTTTTAGAAAGTATGCTGAAGTAATGATGAATTATGGATATTATTATAGATTGTCAAAGATTTATGATTAAGGCACGTTTTATTGTTGGTTATATTGTGGTTAGAGTTTGAAATTGTGGTGTTATATTCTTGCGAGAAACATCAATACTTATATATCACCGTAGTTTAAGGTATATGTCAATTTGAAAGGGTCGAAATTGAAGTTGTGTATATATTATCATTGGTTGATATAGAATTAAAAGAAAAGGAACATTATATTGAGCTATCTCTATTGTTGTTGGGAATGACTAGAATTTTAGAAAACCAGAAATAATTGAAATTTTTGCAGATCATGTTAATTTAGAATGAAAGTAGTTACCCTCAAATATATTTTTTTTTATTTGGGGTTCCAAATATACAGAATGAAGACAAAATGGTATTTGAATCATTGTTGATAGATCGATAAAAGTTACAAAAAATTCTTTTCAAATGATATAGTCAGTTCATGAAATAGAATTATTAAATTATATTTAGATAAGATTTCCATTTATATGGAGTTTGAGTATCTATTTTTGGCTTAGGGAGCTATATAACTAAATTACATTGTGTAGCTCCTTAGAATGTTAGACACTATGAGGACAAGTTCAGGAGAGAGGCTATCAACTATGGTTTGTTAAGTGAAGGGTACTTGAATAATTATCTATTTTTCATGGAATTAACCTATAAGAACTAGACACAAGTGACGATAATTGAGATTATATATGATATTGAAATATTCCAATGACATATTTATTGTGATGAAAGTGGTGATCAAATGTTATTCGGTTTTAGTATGTAACAATTGTTATAGAAAAAGGGATATGACTAGAGAATAGTTCAAATCAAAACGTAAGATGAAGTTTTGGAGAATATGAATAGTATCCTAAACTTCAAATTAGGAAATAGCTGAATTTTTTTTTTTAGATCTAGAAAAATTAAAGTTGAGAGTATTATATATTGGTCTTTGAGATGATATTTTAAAATTTGGGTCAATTGTTTAATGATGGAGTTTGCAACAGTTCTGATATTTAAGAATGTATCATCTATTTTCAAGGCTTAGTAGTTATCAAATGTAATTTATGAGTTAAGATTATTAGTGCAGTTAACAAGAGCTCGTCTTAGTACAGTTGAAAAGATATCAATATAGGAAAGGTCAAGGAAAATCCAAGGACAAGAAAGAATGAATTTTGTGTAGTTAAATTAACGTGCTAGTTAAATTGTGCGGCAATCAGTAGAGAAGACATCACGGGCATATGAAGATCAAGTATGCTATGTGCTCTATATCTTGATATGTTTGAATCCAAGTTGGTTGAATTTTGAGGAAAAAATTCTTCGAAGGGGGTAAGATTGTTACATCACATTTTATACTTAGTCAAAGGTCAATATCAATTAGTCCAAGTCCAAGTCAAATAGGGACTTAAATTGTATAAATAATTTTATTGGGACTTAATTGACCAAATTATTTTATTGGGGTTCATTTTATAAATTGTCAATACTTTAAGGTTTAAGATGGATAAAAAATAATTTTTGGAGATTTACTTATATATTATTGAAAGTAAAGTGGTTAGATTTTATATTCAATAGAAGTTAAGGATTTAATGTGATGTTATATGGAAGTGGAGGACTTAAATGCAAATGAGGGCATTAGTGGATTACAAGTGTCAAATGCTTAACTAATTTAGCCATTTTCAATTGATATATACCTACAAAAATCTGGAAACGGGGCAGAGAAAGGAAAGAGAGAAAGAAGAAAATAAAGAAAGAAAAAAGGAAAAGGAAAAAGAAAGGAAAAGAGGTAGGGTTGGCTATTTCAATTTCATCTTCAATTTGACAAAATTTTTGGTATGTTTTATGCTTAAATTTTTTAGGGTTGTGATTTGTTGGTTAAATTTTCAGATTGAAGGAAGGAATATGTTTACAAGCCAATATTTTTGAATTGGGAAGGCTACTTACATTAAGGTATGAAATACCAATTTTGGACAAAACCTAGAATTTTTATTTGGATTTTTGAATGAGTATAGTTAACAGGAATAATTGTAGAGATGAAATACTCATTTGAAGGCATGAATTTATGGAGCAAGATGAAAATTTAAATTGGTTAAATTATAATTATTAGTTATACTAGTTTGGAAGAAGGTATTATTTTTATGTTTGTAGTGAAGATTATTTTAATGAAGGATTTTAATGAAAGGACTAGAAGGTCAAATTAGTTCCAATTGTGAAGGAAATTAAAGAATATATCCAAGTGTCGAGAAGTCGAGTATTTCGTAGTTAAAGAAGTTAAGGATACTTGGTAGAGTGGTTATTAAATTGGTTATCTTGTATCATATTTCAGGAGATGACGAGAAGATTGAAATCATGATTAGTCCATAACTTGGTGAATGGATATAAAAACTTATTTTTAAGAGATTAGTATTTATTATTATTTCATACAATTGATTTTGACAGCATGATTTTTAGAATAAAGTGAATTTATAATCAGATATTTTTAAAGTTAAATTCAATTCAATTAAATCATTTGATTAGCATGTTATTTGAATATAACTGTTTCAGTATAGCTAAAGTTATTTTTAAAACCACTAGAAAGTACTCAAGTGATTTTGTCCCAGTTTGCACTGGTGTGAATGTGTTTCCACGGTGTATGACTAGTTATGGTGATTTCACCCGCTTTGCACTATTGTGAATGTGTTTCCATAGTTTACGACCAGATTATCAAAGGTCTTTGGGACCCACTCTCGTACACATTTAGGCTTTAGGCCGTGTACTAGGGTGATTAGCCTTTGGGGCAGCTCTGCGTACGTATGACCAGATTATCATATTTGAATGGATTTGCCTTGTACATCGAGATTACTCTATATATGAGTAAGGCTATTCATTGGGTACCCTTTTTGGTGTGATTGTGTGATTTTTCAGTATTTCTACAACTTATCAGATTTCAAATTATAGAATTCAGTTCTCAGAATAAAGCTTCCAGCCTATAGTATTGAACATCAATATTTCACAGATTTTCATGGATGTCAAATTATTTATATTCGTTATACTTTACAGTTAATGAACTAGTATAAGGAACAAACAATTTTATGATCCAATCATGTTTTAATTTTAAAAATGCTACTAGTTTTCAGAATTTCTCAAAGTTTTAGTAGAGCAAGAATTTTCAAAAAATATGCATAAATGAGAAAAGTTTAATTATTTGTAAATTATCCACTCGCTGAGCTTTAAGCTCATATATTTTTTTCACCTTTTTCTTTACCAGACAGATAGCAGCCAAATTGAGCAGCTTTGCAGCCTGTCGAACTACCGAATTGAGCCACGCGTCATAGGTTATACGACATCTTTTATCATATTATACATTGTGTTCTTTTAGGATACACGTAGGTTAAATCAGAAAAGTTCATTATGGGCTCATTAGATATTTGGTATCTTTAGTGTATTTGAGGATTGTTGGTTGTAAGGCAAGTAAATGTTGATTTGTCAGTATTTTGTTTGAATAGTTTGTATTTTAAAGGATTGTCGTACCCTATTCATATTGTAGGTATTGATTTGAGAAAAAATTGATTATTGTTGAGGTGGTTTAGTCCACATTTCAGGGGAAACTCTGCCAAAATTTTGTTAAAAATATTTTTTCAGTCAAGCAAGTCAAAGTTGCCTTGGTGGTGCGTCCGGTATTTAGCTGGTATCTACCATCGGCGCACGACACTTGTCGAGTTTATTAAAGTGATTTGGGACGGATTGTGTCAGAATCACCTAGAAAAGGAAATACATTTCAACTGAAATTTATGTGATTTTGCAGCTTGGAAAGGTAAATTATTGATTAGTGTTTCTGCATGGGAGCAAATCACTTACACAGCAACATTACTGCAATTTTCTCTCGAAATTTCACTAAGCAATTAAGAACAGAAAGAGATACCACCGATTTCTTTATAGGCTTGTAGGAAGAGAAGGAAAGAGGGGATTTTATATTATCCAACTATGTCTCAGATTTGATCTTGACAATTTGAGGTAGGGATTTGATCACACAGACACAGAGCTAATGACTGTGATTGGTTTTAGCTATTTTAAGTTGACAAATGAAACGAAGTGAGAGGCCGATTTCTTGTACCCAAATGAAACAAGGATTAGATTTGGTTGTGGAGAATTGGGCTGGGGTTAATGTATATAAAATAATGATAAAAACAACTTGGTGAGCATAAGTTTGATTGATTAAAAAATTAAAGTTTGTATGGTATTTTAAATGAGACCATACTCAATTCCATCGGCAATAATTTATCTTTATATTTACGACATAGAGTATATATTTAATTGATAAAATCTCTTTTTTTTTGTTATTGATTTTCTTCCTTTGAGTATTTTATTTTATAAATTCTCATTCTTTGAAAAAGAAGCGACGTGATCCTACAAGAGGCAACACCAGAGGGAATTCAAGCCCTCATTGAACTTGAGATTGTACAGGAGGTTTTTTGAAAATCTAAAGGTGACATTAGAAGACTTGGACATGCTCCAAAACCTACTTCAAGCCACTCCGTTCATTTGACATCCGCTAATACTAAGTCAATAGCCTTTTGGGAGCAAATATGATGTAGGAGAAAGAATTAATGGATATGAGTGCCTGGCTATCCCAATTTGAGACACTAATGCATAAGTTTGTATCGAGTCAAGTTGGCACATTTCACAAGAATATGAAGTACCAACATTATTCGACGTGACACCGCCTGTTGATAATATATAAATTATGATTTCTTTATTTATTCGCTTTAAGTGTTGAGACACCTATTCTCCTTTATGGATTGAATGACTATGGTTTTTTTTTTTTTTTAAGTTATTATGTGATTGAAAGTTTAATCATCTAATAATTCTTTTTTATTTTTTATTTTTTTTTTTGAAGATAAATTTTGGTAGACATTTTATAAAGCTTTTATTGAATAATTTTTCCTCTAGGTCAAAAATATTTAAAAGTAAAAAAAAATACATATTAAAATACCCCTTTAACTAGACGAAAAAACAAAGACTTTGTTGCAGGAAATAAAAATTTCTCACAAAAATTAGACCTATTGCATCACAAACACTATGTTCTAAGAAATAAAAAAATTTCACCATAGTTTCACACGAAAAAAATATTTTAGTACCTTACTTTGATCATATTTTTCGTGATAATCTTTATTATTTGATTCGCGTTTTAAAAATAATACGACAACTTTTTATGACACCTTATATTTTTTGGGTACTTACTTTTTTCAAAGCAATGTTTGAAAAATTCTAAACACAACAGTTACTTACCATTGCAAAAAAAATAAATAAATAAAAAATAAAAAAAAAATGTCAAGACTATAAGCAAATAATGTTGCAAAATATAATAGAGGCAAATGACAAAGAATTTCCCAAAAACTTAACCGCTAAGTGCATTTGAGGCCTTTTGTAATGTGCTTTGTACATTATCGTATCCTTCTATTCTATGATAACACTATAGCCCACAACATAAAGGTCAACGTTGTGAAAGATCTACGACAATATTTTTTGTTCGTTGTGAAAAATATTTTTTCTTGTAGCATTTTTTTTCTCCATCTATAGAATTTGTAACAACAAATACTCATTGTTGCAAAAAGTAGACCCTACTGCATTACAAACACTTTGTTACAAGAAATAAAAGTTTATCGCCATAAGTTTTCCACCAGAAAATATTTCGACTCTTTGCTTTCCTCGTATTTTTGGCGAAAGTCTTTATTATTTGTTGTGTCTTCTCACGTTACACAGAAACTTTTTATGTCGACTTATATTTTTTTCCATAACAATATTTGTAAAATCTCGCTAAATTACTTATTGCAACAACTTTTTATATATAGTAAAAAATCTTGTAGAAAAATTACAATTTTGTTGTAAAATTGCAGCTAGATCTTACCATTTTCAATCTTGGTATAAGCATAGAGAAGGGATTACAATTGTGTGAGATTGACAATCTAGAATTTTGATAACAACCATATCTGAAATTTTAGATCATGTTGCCTTGGGTTTGCAGCTTGATATCGATGACAATTGAAAAAGAGAACAGAAATAGTGATGGTGACATCAACATGTGATTAAAATCTTTAATAAGAGGGCGTAATATTAGATTTCTGCCAAATATTGGAAAATCTTTTTTTTTTTTGCTAAAATGTTGATTGTGATCAAACTTAATTTTTAAGTGCACATTTATTCAATTGTTAACCATATATTTAATGGGACCACCAAATTTTGAGCTTGTTTGGAAGATGTTAAAATATGATTTTAATCTAAGTCAAAGTCAAACAATTAATATCAATCACATCTTGCATGGGTCCCACAACTTTTCAACCACACATTTCAAAAACTTCTATCATAGTCTACTAAAAAATCTACTTTTAATCCCTACCAAACACCCTATCAACTTTTAACAATGTCACATGCACCTATGTCACCTGATGTAATGCGGATGTGTTTTATTCTATTCAGAATACAATATTCATGTTTTGTGTAGATAATAGTATCTTTGCCTTTTCTTTTCCTTTTTCAAAATAAGTGCATATCAACATTAAAAGACTGAATGACCTATCTGGTGATTGACTTGGAATGCAGTAATGCACTGGATACTGCATCTTCTGAGTGTCATGGAGTAAACCTCATCTATTTATATTCACATCAATAAAGAGCTCGAAAAATTTTAAGATGGTCCAAATTGAACATTGAATAGAAAGATTACCGCTCGAAAGCTTAAATAGGTCATCCCAAGCTCCTATTTTTATCAAAATCATTTTCTCCATTGGGCCTACATAAAAATTATTATATGTTGAACAAGTACCATCATCCATGGTATAATTAACAGAAACAGCGAAAATACAAAATGGAATTCAAACTCCAGAACCCAAATACAAGATAGAACATTTCAATTCACATTTTTTAATCAACCCTAAAGTTGAATTTTTAGAAAATACCCTAGCAACAAAATAACCACAACCAAAATGAAGGGGCATTTGACAAGAATTATAAACGGGTTCTAACAGATCTGTGTTAGAACCGAAAAGAGTCTATATAGACTAAAATTAACTAAGCTGGAACAATGGGGGAGGCAATGGTAGTGGAGGAGTTGATGGTGACAAAAAATTTATAACATCCCAAGGGGACTGATTTGGCTGACAAACATGGGTCTGAAGCACAATCTGTGGTTTCAATGAAGATGTAACATGTAACATGCTTTTGTAATCTCTTGGAGGTTCTATGGCTATTTTTGGGATAGTCGAGCGCATAAAAGCTCAGGGTAGAGAGACTTTGTAGGTGTGAGGTGGGTGAGTATGTATAAAGGTGGTATTGGATAATGTAGGTGTCGATAGTCACAATGAAATTAGATCCAAAAGGAATATTCTTTTCTTATTTTTTTTCTATAAAATGCCATATAACACTTTTTGTAATAAGTGTAATATATTATGTTGTGTTGCCGTTGCCATCGCCATTGCCACCCTCATCTATGCCATCATATCCACATTTCCCATCAATCCCAAACCCTAGTGTCATCATCTTCCACACCATTCCACTAGAAAAGATCCACAAACTGGCATCGCAGCCTTGTACCCACCAAACGGCCTCTAGATCTCATCATTTTCAATCTTGGTCTCCTATCCGATTATACCATCAAAACTACTATAAACATCTAAATAATCACCACCATCAATGCCCAATGCTTCCATCTCTTTATATGTATAAGCACAAAGAACGAGTTACAATTGTGTGAAATTGACAATCTAGAATTTTTATATCAACTATAACTAAAATTTAAGATCATGGTGACTTGCGTTTGCGGCTTGTGAGTGGTGGAAACAGCGAAAGAGCTTAGAAATACTGATAGTGACGAGTAAAATCTTTGATAAATGTTTGCGTGCATAATATTAGATTTCTACCAAATAGTGGGATGTTTTTAAAATTTTTATCGTGATCAAATTTAGTTTTTAACTACACATTAATCCAATTTTTTACAACAACTTTCATGGGACCCACGTAAATTCTATCATCTTTTAATAATATCACATGCAACTATGTTGCATAGTGTAATGTGATTGTGTTTTATTACGTTCAACATACAATTGTCATGTTTTGCATAGATGATAATTTCTTTACTTTTTCTTTTCCTTTTCAAAGTAAGTACATCATCACTATTAAAAGATTGATGACATGTCTAGTGATTGAAATGGAGTGACACCTCATCTGTTTGTGTTCACATCAATAAAGAGCTTGAAAA